CCTGAACTCGGCCTGGGCGCTGTCCCTCAGCTCTTCATTTCAAGGCTAGCGCTCTACCACTTGAGCCACAGCGCCACTTCCAGGTTTTATTCTTTTTGCTTATGTGGTGCTGAGGAATCGAACCCAGGGCCTCATGCATGCAAGGCAAGCACTTTACCACTGAGCCACCTTCCCAGCCCCCCCAACCAGTCTTTTAGAAAGTATCACAGATGCTAATCGGGTTTACCTCTTCCTGCTCTAGTTTTCTTATTATACTCTTTCACCTGAACTGCAGGAACAGATTCTAACCTCAAATCTATGTTCCCAGGCTGGTTGTGTTCTTCTAAAGTTTATTCTCCACTGACTGGAGTGTGATATATCTTCTTCCCCAGCTCCGCCCCCACCTCGGGTATGGGGATTGAACTCAGAGCGCTGTTACTAAGTGTCTTTGTGTTCAAAGCTAGCGCTTTACCACTTGAGCCACAGCACCACTTTCAGTTTTTGAGGAGTTAATTGGAGATGAACCTTATGAGGACTTTCCTACCTGGGCTGGCTCTGAACCTTGATTCTCAGATCTCAGTAGTTGGGATTACAGGTAGAGGTCACCAGCACAGGGCACAAGTGTGATATATCTTGAAGAAAAAATACATTCAGAATTGTTTTCAACTGATTAATATTTTAAGTTATACTTGGGGTAATATAGAACAAAGGTTCTTGTAGGACAATTTGCTCCCACATTCTTGAAATGTGGCTTTTTTCATCATCTCTTGATCACATCCATCATGCTTTGCTTGAAGACATGTGCTTTTGCTCCTACTTGTCCCTAGAATATATTTCTGACTCAAGTTCCTTCTATATTCATGCTACACAGAGCTTTTGTTTTCTCAATAAAGTCTTATTAAGTTTGTCTATTTTCAAGGTACTACATGTTTCTTTTGGAAACCCAGTCTTCATTTCTTATCACTTAAAACCATTACCAACCATCTCTACTTCTGTATTTGATTTCATTCCTCTATATGAATTATTTTCCTGTTATTGTCCTATGTATTTCCTTGACTAAGTCTGTCTTTCTCATAAATCTACAAGTTCCACTAAAGATAAACTTATAATGACTAGAAAAAAAATGAACATAAAGGACGCTATTATTTCTCCTCCCTCCTTTATAGCATCAATCTCAAAATAAATATTTGTGTCCACAATATGTATATATATATATATATATATATATATATATATATATATATATCATCCTCTACATCTTACAGTTTTATCTTCATTTTATCCCTATCAATTAAAACATTTCTTATTTGTATCCAAGGGAGTGGGCATTTTCCATCACACTGATTAGGTAGACAACCAGTTATGCACAGAAATTTTAGAGCTTTTGTACATGTAAAAAATGTTTCAAGTGTCCATATACTCTAATAAGAAAGTCAGTGTGAAGTAATATGCCTCAGAGAATATAAAACAAAAAAATTTCAGACATTTTGGCAATGTGATTTTTCATGGAGGACACAAGACATAAATAAGTTGCCAGAATAAGTGAGTATCCAACAAACTTGACCAAACTCACCTTGGTATAACTCTGTATTAATATCTGACAGTTGTAATATGGAAAACACTGACAAGTAAAGTTAAGATGTATATGTGTACAGTGAAAGTAAAAATAGAGATATCAAATGATATTTTCATGTTTAAACCACTGGACATGGATAGTGACAACAACCTAACACCCTATTCTTTCTACTTTACTCTGCCTCCCTATTTCTCTCTGTGTCACTCCTTAAGTAAAAATAACTTTCATATTTAAAAATTTCATATTAATATTCAAATGTGCTGTATTTTATAGTTTTGGTAAATTATTATTTTGTAAATTTATGGGAACTTCGCTTAGATTGAGCTTGTAATTTTAATGTTTGTGTAATATATTAACATAATGCAGGACTAACAAAGGATATAATGTCCTCTCAGATTCTATTCATTACATCTTAGATGTGTTATTGAGTTCACAGTAAAGACATGTGGACCCCAAGCTGATTGGAAAAAAAAAGTTTAATTTAAAAATTCAATTATTTAATACTTTCACTAAGCAAGTCTCCCATTTTTTAGGCTTTCTATTTCAAAGTTTTGAATATTGTTCAAATACTTTAACTGTATGTTATAAATATGGAATGATAAATGTGATTCTGATTGGTTTGGGAAGGTGAAAGAGGAGATAAGGAAATGTAAAATGTAGTGGGGCAAGTGATCTAGCAAGTGATATTTTATTCACATATGGATATATAAAATGAAATCCTTATACAACTGATTGGTGCTAATAAAGAGTATGAAAAAAATCCAAATATTGTATTTGCCAAGACTATGAATATTTAACTTAATTTACAACTATACTTTGTTGATTATCTCCATAATTATATAAATATATATATATATATATATACATTGTTTTTTCAGTAAAAATTTCATTTTAAATGGTTGAATTTACATTTGTTGTAAGATGTACTGATTTCTGCATGTAGTGGCATATGTTCTACGGGAACACACAGTCCTGTAACCATTAGATGCTGAACACGGTGGCATAGACATTACTCCACAGATGTTCCCTCATACCCCTTCTTAGTAATCAGTAGCTTGATTTCTATAATCATAAATCAGCTTTGTCTCTTTTGGGCTTTCACAAGCAGAGACATACATCCTAATGTTTGGATCAAAATAATACTTTTTCCCAAAAGTAGACTTCCACAGGAAGTCTCTAGTTCATCTTTATTACTTCATAGTATACCATATTTTGAATAGGTTTTAACTCATTCAATTTTAACTAGATGAATGTTTTTGTTGTTTCTAGATTTATATTGTTGCAAATGAAGCTACTATGGAAATTTTTATGTATATGAAAATATATACTCTTTTGTGATTACAGAAAACTGTCTTTCCCTTTTATATTATTGTCTAGTTTACCAAAATGTATTATATTTCTAGTAATTATTTTTAAATCTTTGTTTTATAATCTCACAGAAAAATAGTTTTGTTGGTCTTTTTACAGCAATCACTAAGATGTGGGTCAGGTGGCTTTCTTTTGTAGTTTAAGTTGAATTTTTCCTTATGTACATGATGCTATGAATTTTAAAAATGTCATTGCTGATTTACACCAGTTCTTTTTCTCTCCTGTATGTAATAAAATGGTCTATCAGATTTATATGCAACAAATTTCGTATCCAATGAGTTCATTTTTATGTTTTTTGTTGTTGTATAGAAGCTCCAATTTTAATTAAGTCATTCTTTTCTTTTATAGGTAATTTTTGTTTCCTATTTCTAAAATGAGTATGTGCCCTATTTGTAGAGATATTCTAGTTTTATTCTAGTAAATTAGATTCTCACAAATTAATTTTAGAATGTAGTGCTAGTGTCAAATTTCCTATTTTCCTTTAATTTATCTTATTTATCTAGTGTGGTGTACGGGAAGTGATTCCATTTCCTCAAGGACTCAAAGCAGCACAAACAGGTGAGTATGTTTATGTGAGAGTAGGTATGAGTATGTTTTCAGCTTATTATCCTCACTTTTGTCTTAATATCACACTGTTTGCTATTGTGTAGAATTAATACATTGTTCCTTTACAGCATTATTTCTTCAATTTATTAGTCTTCAGCCAAATTTTGCTTTCAAAGATGGAGAGAACAAAAGAGAAAAGAGATTATTTTCTGGAATTTTAAAATGCGATTGCTTTTTATCATTGAATTTTATTTGGGTAGAACTGATGTCTCATATTGTGTTCTAATATTGGAGAAAGAATAAACCTCGATCTTTTTGGGAATCAAATAATCTTATTAATATCTTATAGGTTTGGAATACACTTTTTTTTTTGTGTGTGTGTGGGGGGGGGCAGGGAATACCAGAACTTCAGCTCAATGCCACATACTCTTGCTCAGAGCTAGTATACTATCATTTGCTCCATAGCTATAACCTGCCATTTTGCTCATAAATTAAATATGGAGTCTTACAGACTTTTTCTGCACAAGGTGGCTTCAAACTACAATCCGCAGGTCCAAGTCTCCCGTATATCTGGGATCACAGGCATGAGCTCCCAATTCTCAGGTTCAACACAGAAATTTTAATAGCACATTTATATTTACTGAAGGCTTCTAATTACATCAGTGTATATACTAACTCTAAGTATTATTTACTCATTTGATCACTTAGTTAAAAAGAAATGACCATATAAACCAATAGATTTTTCTCTTCCTTAAAATAAACATTTTATTATTAAATGAAATATTAATGATTTTTTTAAAATTTCAAACAGCATAACCTAACTGTAAGCCATTTTTCTTCATCTTTTCTCCTTTATCTACTCTCTACATTTCTCACTCAAATTTTCTGAGAGTCTTCATTTATTCTTTCCTCGATTACTCACAATGAGAAATTCTCCAAGCTAAGAATACTTTTAGAAACTGGCAAGCCTAGGTATTTCAAAGTTTCAGAAATATGACAGAGGTACAAGATCCAGTCAGCTTATAAGACAGTTGTGGCTGAGAAATAGCATGTTTCCTACTACAATTAAGAGAATAGTGCTGTGTGTCCTGCAGTGATGCTTTATTAATTCTGTGCTTCTCTTACAGTCTGCAGTTCTGTATTCTGTAGTTACTGTATTACTTTAAAGAACAAAATAACAGAGAGGCCTTACCAAAATTAAGATATCAGAAATGGTTTGATCTGAGCAATGTGTTTAAGGAGGAGAAATCAGTGAGAAAAGACAAAGGGAAAAAAAATCCAAGGACATTGTAGAGGATTATTTTGCTGTTGAGAGAAGAGGAAATAGTGCATGCACAAGGCCAAAAATAATTCTCAGATTTACATTTTTGTATATGACAATATGTCAATACTCTTGCATTTTTGGCATTTATTAGATTTAATACTTGAAAAAACAAATTGTCTGTGTGCTACCAATCCATATAGTCTTAAATTTCAGATTAGTGTCATATAATTCTATTGAAATTTATTGTATGTTGAAGAGAAATACTTTTTAAAGTTTATTTCTGCATTTCTTGCATTTGAAGTCCTCTTTGATGACATTCTTGGCTTGAGACTCTTTGCCATAATCCTTAACCACTACATAACTGCAACCAGCCACTTTATGGGGTTTTCCCTCTCCATCAGTTTTGCAGAGACTTATCCACTCCCCTACTTTTTTATGTTTGTTTTTTATTGTTGTTGTCATTGACCTTAATAACGTTATTTGGTACTCAGCACAAAGGGCCTCCACCAACTTGCCACATATAGGCTCATTGCAGTTGGATGCAAGCACACAAAGAGGTGGCTGGCACTTATCTAGGGCTTTGGCAGCTTGGCGGATTTCATGTGCTAGGCTGTCGTGGATGAAGGTAGTCTTCAGCACTTTTTAAAAAATTTTTTATTGTAAAGATACTGTACGGAGGGGTTACAGTTACATAAGTAAGGTAATGAGTCAATTTCCTACGGAGCATTTGTTTTTCCCCTACCATCTCTTTCCTCCCCTCCTTCCTAACTCCTCTCTCCCCCACCAAAGTTGTTAAGTTCATTTTCAACATAATGTCTTATACATCTGGTTGTTACAATGGATCATCCTGTATCCTTATTTCAGCAATTTGGTATTTCCCGTCCCCTCCCCAAATTAGAAAAATGTGTATGTCTAGGACAAGCAGAAGAGGTCAAAAGCTATGTTCACATGACCATATAAGATGATGCTAAGCGAAATGAACCCCAAGATAGGGACACAAGAGGTTTTATCTTTCTTGCTGTTGTTTTTAATGTACTTACAATGTAATATGTGATTTTTTTGTTTCTTTTGTATGTTCTTCCTCCATGATGCAACCCCTGTTTTCTCTGTATTTTATTCCAGTGTCCTGCATTTTGTATATACACTTTTCATCTTGTAAAGCACTATTAACGTCCTTTGCTTCTCCAGCAGCAATGCCTTCCTCGACCATGGAGGTGGATTACAGGTGAAGCTGCATCTTGAGCGCACCTTGGTCTCATCCTCTGAGCAGCTTGGAGGTGGCAGGGAAAGAGCAAGGAATACTTTTTCTAAGTATGTTTTGAGAACAATGAACCATTTGACCAAATTAAAGGCATGTTAATGAATATAACTGATAGAGAAAATTTATTTTTCTTCTTTTGTATATGCTTTTATTGTATAAATACTGTACAGGAAGATTACAGTTAAATGAGTAAGGTAATGAATATATTTCCTATCCAGCATGTTACCTCCTCCTTTGTTTTTCCCCTATCATCCCTTCCCTCCCTAACTCCCTAACTCCTCCCCCACCAAGTTGTAAAGTTCAATTTCAACAAAATGTCTTGTACATCTCAGTGTTAAAATGGGTCAACATGTATCCCTATTTCAGCATTTTATTTCCCTTCCCCTCCCCAAATGAGAAAAATGTATAGACAAGATTCAAGGCACCCCAATCAAATACAGTGAAAGCAGGGGTTATACCATGGGGGAAGAACATACAAAAGAAACAAAAAAAAATCACACAGTACATTATAAGTGCATTAAAAACAACAGCAATAAAGATAAAACCACTTGTGTCTCTATATTGGGGTTCATTTGGCTTAGCATCATCTTATATGATCATATAAGCTTTTGAACTTTTCTGCTTGTCCTCAATATATACTAGTTATGGCAAATAAGACAAACCATGGGACCCACCTCGAGGTCCAAACGAACACCCTGACAACATTACAGAAAGGAATAGGACAAACTCTAGAGCCCTTTAGCACAGGCCAAAATTTTCTTAATATTAAGACCCAGAAACACAACAAATCAAAGAAAGGTTGGACAAATTGGATTGCATGAAACTGCAGAGCTTCTGCAATGCAAAGGACATAGCTAGCAAGATAATAGAAAGCCCACAGACTGGGACATACAACGGACATGGATCTTATATCTAAAATATACTTAGAATGTAAACAATTAAATCCCCCAACAACACATCCTCAAAGAAACAACTCCCCAATTAATAAGTGGGCTAAAGACTTAAAGAGAAACTTCTCTGAAGAGGAAATAATGGCCAATAGACACATGAAGAAATGCTTAACATCTCTAGCCATAAAAGAAATGCAAATCAATACAGCATTGAGATTCCACCTCACCCCAGTGAGGTGAAAATCTAATAACAGATGCTGGAGGGGAGGTGGCCAAAAGGGAACTCTCCTGCATTGTTGGTGGTAGTGTAAACTTGTTCAGCCACTTTGGAAAGTAGTATACAGGTTTCTCAAAAGACTCCACATACAGCTTCCCTATGACCTAGCAATTCCACTTTGGGGGCATTTATTCAAACGATCACAAACAATACTAAAGCAACCAGCACAACTATGTTTATTGCAGCATTATTTACCATAGCTAAGATATGGAACCAACTCAGATGCCCCTCAGTAGATGAATGGAACAAGAAAATGTGGTATATATACACAATGGAATTCTATGCCTCCATCAGAAAGAATGAAACTGTTCCATTTCTTAGGAAATGATAAGACTTGGAAAAAATTATAATAAGTGAAAATTTGTTTATCATGAAAAGTAAATAGAATATTTAATACTTCAGAAAATGAAAATGTAATATATTTCCTTAAGTAGGTATCTTAGTTGTATATGTTTATGGACACCATGTAGTCATCTGATACATATAAACAGTGTGATGAAAAAACCAGGTTAGTTGCCATTAAACATTTTAATCTGATTAATCTTTTTTAACCTGAGTATAATGGTATACTCATGTAATCCTAGCACTTGGGAGGCTGAGCTGATAGGGGGTCTGATGCCACCCTCAGCTCTGTATTAAATTTAAAATCACTATGGGCTCCATATGAGATGCTGTCTCAAAACTGTTTTCTACTGACATCATTATGCACATGTATGAAGTTCAGTATGAAATTACTGTACCAATAGGTACTGATCAAATCAAGGTAATTGATCTTTTCACATCATTGTCATATAGTGACTTCTCAGATGTTACCCCAGAATATTTTCTTAAGTTGAAATGATTTGTACATGCATTCTCCTTACCAATTACATTGAAATATTCTTCAATTTTTTTTTAGTGATCAAGAGAGTGTATTTTCAAATATATCTCTAGTGATTACCTGAAGATATAGGTTTAGTATTCAATCATTTTTAGTATAGAATTATTTTTTTAATTTAATTTTTATTTTTTGTGAACATACTGTACAGAGGGGTTACAATCACATGGGCAAGATAATGAGTACATTTCTTATCAAGCATTGCAGCCTCCTCCTTTGTTTATCCTTCACATCCCTTCCCAGCCTCCCCCTGCCCTCCACCCAATTCTTCCCCCCCCCCACACCAAAGTTGTAAAGTTTGCTTTCGACATGACAACTTGTACTTCTCATTGTTGCAACGGGTCCACCTGTATCCTTAAACGACTTGTTCTTCCCCATTTCCTCCACAAATTATACCGACATCAAATATAGTGAAAGCAGGGGTTATACTGTGGGGTAGCGACATACAAAGCAACAAATAATCTTATAAATGCATTAGAAACAAATGCATGAAAGAAAAAAACATTTAAATACATATCTAAGGGTTCATTTTCCTAACATCACATTATCTGATGTTTTCCGCTTGACTCATACATATACTAGATATTGCAAATAAGGGAAACCATGAGACCTATGTTTCTTTGGGCTTGGCTTACTTCACTTAATATAATTTTTTCCAAGTCTTTCCATTTCCTAACAAATGGGGCAATGTCATTCTTTCTGATGGAGGCATAGAATTCCATTGTGTATAGATACCACATTTTCTTGATCCATTCATCTACTGAGGGACATCTGAGTTGGTTCCATATCTTAGCTATGGTAAATAATGCTGCAATAAACATAGTTGTGCTGGTAGCTTTAGTGTGGTCTTGTTTGTAAACATTTGAGTAAATGCCCAAAAGTAGGACTGCTAGGTCATAGGGCAGCTCTATGTGAAGTCTTTTGAGGAACCTCCATACCATTTGCCAAATTGGTTGAGCAAGTTTACACTCCCACCAACAATGAAGTAAGGTTCCCTTCTGTCCACATCCCCTCTAGCATCTGTTGCTGTTAGAGTTCTTGATTTTTGTCATTCTAACTGGGGTGAGGTGGTATCTCAATGTTATTTTGATTTGCATTTCTTTTATGGCTAGGGAGGTTGAGCATTTCTTCATGTGTCTATTGGCCATCCTTCTTTCTTCTTCAGAGAAGTTTCTCTTTAAGTCTTTAGCCCACTTATTTATTGGGCAGTTGTTTCTTCGAGGATTTGTTGTTGGGGGATTTAATTTTTTGAGTTCCAAGTATATTTTAGATATGAGACCCTTGTCTGTTGTATGGTTCCATACGAATTTTTGGATTGCTTCTTCTATTTCATTGAAGAATGAGGTGGGGATATTTATAGGTATTGCAGTGAATTTGTACATAGCCTTTGCAGTATTGTATTTTCACGATGTTAATCATGCTCCCATCCAGGAGCATGAGAGGTTTTTCCACTTGTTTAGTTCTGCTTTAATTTCCTTTTTCAGATGTTTAAAGTTTTCATCATAGATGTCCTTCACCTTTTTAGTAAATTAACTCCTAGGTATTTTATTTTTTGTGGGGCTATTACAAAAATGGTTGCTTTACTAATTTCAGCTGAGATCTTCTCATTATTGACATACAGGAAAGCCATTGATTTTATACCCTGCTACTTTGCCAAAGTTTCCTATCAGCTCAAGTAAGTTGGGAGTGGAGTCCATATGGTTCTTTAAATACAAGATCATGCCATCTCCAAAGAGGGAGAGTTTTACTTCAGCTTTCCCAATTTGGATCACCTGTATGTTTGAATCTTATTTTATTGCTGTAGCTAGGCATTCTAGTACAAACTTGAAGAGTAGTGGAGAGAGCAGATGTCCTTGTCTCATTCCTGAATTTAGAGGAAGTAGCTTTAGCTTTTCACCATTAGGTATAATGATGGCTGTCAGTTTGTCATTCACAGACTTTACTATATTGAGTGACATGGATTCCTAGTTTTTCCAGAGCTTTCATTATAATGGGTGTTGGATCTTGTCAAATGCTTTTTCTGCATCTATTGAGATAATCATGTGGTTCTTAAACTTGCTCTTGTTGATGTGATAGATTATATTAAGTGAGTTGCGTTTATTTAAACAGCTTTGCATCCCTGAAATGAATCCTGTTTGATTATGGTGTATGATTTTTTTTGGATGAATTGTTGAAGTCGATTGGCCAAAATTTTGTTGAGAAGTTTTGCATATATGTTCATCAATGAAATAGGTCTATAGTTCTTTCTTTGATGAGACCCTGCCTGGTTTTGGGATGAGGCTCATGATGGCTTCATAGAAAGAGTTTGATAGTGAATTTTCCCTTTTGATTTCATTGAAAAGTTGGAGGAATATTGGTGTGAATTCTTCTTTGATGGCCTTGTAGAATTCAGCTGTAAATCCATCCAGTCCTGGGCTTTTATTGGGTGGAAGTTCTCATATTGCTGTTTCTATTTCAATGCTTGATATGGGTCTGTTAATTTGGTTTAACTCATCCTGGTTTAGTTTGGGCATGTTAATATTTGCTAGAAATTTTTTCATATCTTTCAGATTCTCAGACTTATTAGCATAAAGGTTTGAGAAGTATCCCCTGAGTATATTCTAAATCTTGGTTGTATCTGTAGTGATGTTTCCATTCTCATCTCTGAGTTTAATTGGGTGTGTTCTCTCTTTTTTTTTCTAATAAGATTTACTAAGGGTCTGTCAATTTTGTTATTTTTCCCAAGACTAACTCTTTGTTTTGTTGATTGTTTCTATAGTTTTTTTGGACTCTAATTCATTTAATTCTGATTTAATTTTAATTATTTTTTTCCATGTAGTAGCTTGGGTTTAGCTTGTTGCTCTTTTTCAAGGAGCTTTAAGTGCTTCATTAAATTGTTCATTTCAGATCTTTCCAATTTGTTGATATAGGAAGTCAGAGCTATAAACTTGCCTCTGAATACTGTTTTTGCTGTGTCCAGAGAAC